ATGATGGTGATGGAAATGACACTCAGAACATTTTTTCTAATAAAATGTCAAAATGAAATGACTCTTGCTAAGGTTAATTTCATAGTTAGCATTTTATGTATTATTTAAATACAAACAAATAATTTTGATACCTTTTTGTGATTTTTATTTACATTGATATTAACCTTGATTTATATTTATTTTCTTCACACATAATGTCTTATATTTCATCTCAAGCATGCTTTTCACTTTACACCTTTAATACTTTTGCCTCCACAGTAAACAAGTACACTAACAAAATGTTGGTTGCAGGAAATGATGTCACAGCTGAGGGGTAGCTTTTTTTTAATTAAAGAATTTATTTTCAAACAAATATAAAAACAGCTCATTATTTTTCACCATTGTTTAGTTTACCATAATTGTACACATGGGATAATTCATATTTTCATGAGGCATTTTTATAAAATAAGATTAAAAGTCTGTGATGAAACAATAAAAGGATCAAAAAAATAAATCTATACATAATAGGCAAAAGAAAAATAAATTATGAATGCATGGAATCTCTTTTGAGGAAAAAAAAAAAACGTCTCGGTATTTTACACATTATGACAACTGGCATGAAAATGTGCCTAATTGCCATGATAATATCACATTGCAAAAAAAAAAAAAAAGCTTGATTGTCTAAATAGGCTTCAATTCTTTATGCAAAATAAATCTTATTTTTCTTTAGATTTGGTGGTGAAATGTGAAATGTGTTTATTTTTTTTGTGAGACTCGTCCTTACAGTACTCTGGTCTGCGAAGAGTCTGTCAACTCAGGACATATCATCCATACTAAAAACGAAGCTGATGTAATTGGCGATGTTGACAAATTTGTCACAAAAATCAACATCCTATCAGCAGAGATAAGGTTCAGTCCAGCCATTACAGGCATCTCAAATCTCGAACCTACATCTTGTCTTTACCTTGTCTCAAAAAAAAAACAAAAAAAAAACACAAGGAATGTGGGTCTTAAATCACAAAACAATGAACGCATCAACTTTCCGATGGCAACTAAGAGTGATTTTAACAGTTCGAAGCAGCATTTTCACGGAAACGGGAAGTGCCGAGATTGGCATTTACACAGGTAAATGTCAGCCGAAGACACTAAAGCATCTAATAAGAGAACGAATGCACATAATCTTTACACTTGCAGGCAACCTTTGCATCTGATCTCCAATCAGTCAGTAAGGAGAGCTGCTACACGCGGTCCTCATTTCCCCCTCACTCTCTCAGAGTGGCACGCAACAGCCATGACATTTACTGGCGCCATCGGCACTCTGGGCCCGAGACACTATCAGAGCCGTCGTAGGGTGTGATTTCTCCCTGGTCCACCTCTTGAGATTTCTGTTGTTCTGGTGTACTAACAAATAGATCCATTACATAGATTCCAGACACAGCAACCATCCATCTGTCCATCTCTGTCTCGTCCGTTCAGTGGATGTACAATGTTGTCAGGGGCCAGTGTTTGTAGCCAGAGCAACTGCTATGCCCACACATCCTTTCAGTCCTGAGCCACCCACATAAACAGTGCTGAAAGAATAATAGCCAGTCACACATACAAACAAATCGTGACACTTCCACATGCCTGAACACAATGGACACAGACAGCTCCCACACACCACACGTCCTGTCCAATATCCCGCTAGCAGAGAGTGTCACCCTTCACAGCAGCAGCAGCAAAGACACCTCCACTGGTGTAGAAAGACACCACCTCATCTACACAAGCACAGGACATAATGATAATAATAATAATTATAAACAAAAAAAAATTGCAACCATTTGATCTGTACATAATAATATTAACTTTAAAGTGAATCTGTAGAATCTGTTGCATGTTTTTGTGACTTCACGAAACTATTTCATAGTAAGTACATGTTGTTCATTAGAATAATTCTGAACAAATGTAATTATATGGTAATATAAACATTAATGTAAAATTGTCACGATCTCTAGCTGGAGTGCCCATGAGCTCCGCTAGAGGGCACCCCATCCTGTACCCTTTACCACTCACCCTGGACTCCATTTCCCATAATTATCTGCCTGGACACATCATCAATTGCAATCACCTGTCTTTCATAAGATCTCATCAGCAGTTCACAGCTGTCTCACATTAGAAGGACTGTAAAAGTAGCATACACACTCTCTGACTTTGCTGGTGATTGTATTTTTTCCAAGTTTCCTGTGTGTTCCTTGTTTTCCAAGTTTCTTAGTTTTGCCTTGCCTTAGTGTTTTTGACCCTGGACTGTTTCCTTGATTCTGATTGTTTGCTGCCTGCCCTCACCATTGCCCGTTGTCTGGATTACTCTTTTGCCTCTGCCTTGGATATAACTGTTTGCTGTTACTGGACCTTGCCTGTATGGCCACGCCTTGTTAAATAAAAGCATTCTGTTGGTCAACATGCCGCATTTGCTAGAAAAACAGATACGAA